CAGACGCTATGCCAACTAAGCCACGGAACAAACCTGCGGACCTCACGAATTTCTCTATGTGCTTGTTTTTGTCGAAACTTTGTATATGGTTTTCAACGACTTTTTAGCCGTAGTGCCATCTATGAGAAATCTATGAAAGTATTTCGTCACCATTAGACATCTTTATAGCTACCAGCCCCGGCTAGAGGTGTCGCTATTCACTGTATTTTTTTAAAATAAATATTCAATTATTTTTTTGTGATTTTACTCCACTAGTTTGTTATAATTTATTAATACAAAGATTCGGCCGGATGGAAGGAATTTTTTCTAAGTGTTCGATCTTTGTATTAATAATAATAACAAACTAGTGGAGTAATTTCACAAAAATAGAATATCAATTCAATAAAAAAATTAAGATTTAAATTTGTTGTTCAGCTCTATTCACAGAACACCCAATGAAGAATGAATATTTTATTACTAATTCTGATATGGACCGATTTACTTATCTCACGTCATGCGACACGGAAGGAAAATACTTCAAATATTGAGGATAGGATATTTTGCTTCATCACTCATCCTATTTAAGAGCCAGGTTATGATAAATATTTAAAACAATACGGCACAATTCCGTTTTTAATCGTCCACATCGTTAAATTGCTTCTCGTTTGTTAAATCTTTCACATATCCCCATAAAAAGAGATCTGATAGTATCACGTCTGAAGGTCTCCATCTTGAAGTAAGAATGTACATATAAAAATGCGTTATAGTTTTCCTAAACTTAAATGTAAAAGTTCATGGTGTTTATTTTATTTAAGATACTATGTTACTTGAAAGAAATTTATCCTTACAATTGACTGTTTCAATCGGCTTTTTTATTTTCTTCGTCGGTTGGATTTCCAGATGAGACCAGCAACTTTTTAAAACCTAACTTCTTAATAATTATAACAAACCATTGAATAACTTACTTTTAAAAATAAAATAATGTCTCCATGAAGCAAAATATCCAGGTACGTATTTCGCTTTGTGTTTCTTAACCCTGGGACATCCTTGTACATAATTAGAAAATTATTTAAAAACTGTACAAACCTAGTGTAAGCTCTGCTCCCACAGTTTCCAAAAGAAGAAAAATATCAGAAGGAAATTCGTTGTGCTGGTGCTTTATCATCAAGTTGCCAGCAATAGTTCCTATCTAGAGAATAAAACAAGTCAATACAATTGGTTGATTGTCACACAGATAAATAACATTGTGGGAAAGACAAATTGTTATTTTTAAAACGGGTAAAGTATCTCGGTTAGTAGTTAAGTCATTTTACAAAATAAATCAGGGTTTAACTCACATTTCTAACCGCAATATGAGCAACAAGTTTCAAATGTTGATAAAACTTTAAAAGGTATTCAAAATAATCTTGGGTTGCCATGTGTTGGAATATATCCAAGGCTTCAGTAAGCGTCGTACCGCCACCAATGACCAGGTTCTGATCTATAAAGGTCCGTTTTAGTTCAGAGACGTCGCTGATGTCTATCAGAGTTTGTGGGTACTCCTTTATGGGATAAGCTCCTAAAAATATTAAATACAGGTTATCACTATTTTTACGCAGAACACTTAATAATATTACCAATTTTGTTGACCTTGGCGTGTTTGCTAAATGTAATTATGAAATCCCGATAAAAAAAAACAAGTAAATAAGCTTTACAAAAAATCTTTAAAGGAGGCTCTGATTATATAATGTCCATTAACGTTCACAAAGAAACCATTGTTTACTCATTTGTAATACACTCGAGAGCAATGAATCCGGGTCACTTAAAGAATCCAAAAAATCTCGGAAAGTAAGAATGCTAGGTTAATGCAATAAATTTATTTTAATAGACAATTTAATACTCCTTAAATGAAAGTAAAAAAAATATGAGTCACCATACATTTTATTTACACAAAATTACATAAAGAAAAAAAACTGCTGATCTCTCCTTAAAACAAAAATAGGAAACATGAAATTTTTGAACTTTATTACGATTTTCTTGAATTTTAATACTTCGTATTGCCTCCTCGTGCTTCCATTACTGCGTTTAGGCGGTTTGGCATGCTGTACACCAAGTTCCTTATACGATTTTGGGGAATATTCTCCCATTCCTCTGTGAGAGCAATTTTGAGCTCACGAAGCGTGATTGGGGGAGGGTTTCGTTGTTTTACGCATCTCCCTAGCTCGTCCCAAGCATGCTCGATCGGGTTGATATCCGGGCTGCGCGCTGGCCACTCCATACAAGTAATGTTCATCTCTTGAAGGTAGTCATTTACAATCCTACCTGTATGAGGTCGGGCATTGTTATGCATAAATATAGCATCCTCACCAAAATTGACCATAAATGGACCAACGTGTTCATTGAGGATTTCATCTACATATCTTTCGCTAGTTACAGAGTCGTTTTCTATGATCACCAGGTCTGTGCGACTTTCAGAAGAAATTCCGGCCCACACAAGTACAGACCCACCACCGTAGGCTACTTTTTCTTCGATGCATGCTTGCTTGAATCTTTCCCCTGGTCTTCTATACACTCTGTGTCTTCCATCGTGCTTGTAGAGCATAAATTTTGATTCGTCGGAGAACATAACTTTCGACCAATCTTCAATACTCCAATTTACGTGGTTATGGGCATATCTTAGTCTTGAAATACGATGCCCACGCTCCAGTTTAGGGCCGTTTGCAGGTCTAAGGGGTTTTAAGTTAGATTCAGCAAGCCGACTTCTTACTGTCCATGCACTTGGGTTACTTCCTCCGAGGCGTCGAAACTGATTTGTGAGTTCAGCTCCTGTGAGAAAGCGATTTCGAAGCATGGTGTTCACCAAGTATCTGTCATCTCGTGCTGTGGTACACCTAGTTCTGCCCGTTCCTGGTCTGCGTAGGTTAGAACCAGTTTCTTCGTAACGTCGGAGAACTCTTTGTACTGTTGACAGCGACACACCGACAGTCCTGGCTGTATCGCGCTGACTCCGGCCAGTTTCCACCAATGTAAGTATTCTGGTGCATTCTTCAAGTGTAAGCGACATGATTTCAGCTTAAATAATGAATATTAAGCACTATCAACATGGTTTATGTACCCACATAAATGACAGATTACAAACAAAAGCAAAAACAAATGCTGTAATTTCGTAGTTCCATCTTCGAAAGTGTTCCCTTTTCATATTTGATTTTTTTATGATATAACTTTACAATAACTAAAAAGTTTTAATACCTTCATTTAAGGAGTATTAAATTGTCTATTAAATACAATTTATTGCATTAACCTAGCATTTTTAGTTTCCGAGATTTTTCGGATTCTTTTAGTGACCCGGATTCATTGCTCTCGAGTGTATATTTGTTACTAAATTGCGAGAATGGTTATGATCAACCTGATCCAACGCTTCATTGTGGTCATAAAATACTCTAATGAAGCTTACATTATGGTAAATGATATTGTTTATACCTATGACGATTTCGCTGATTTAATTTAAAATATGTTTAAGTAATCACAAGTATAAAATTACTGAATAATGTAAACGTTGCATATGTTTTCCTTTACTTATTGAAAACTTGAGCACTCATGTCAAGATTTAATGCTATCGAAAAAACTATTCATAATAGATACATTTTATAAAGATTGTTTACAGCGAAAGGAAGATCTTTTTTTCTAGAAGTACATAATTCTTCTGAGATACAGGGGTATCTCAGAAGAATTATCTACTTCTAGAGGTAAACAACCAGTCGTACTTTACTAGCCTATATTAGTTATGTTAATTACCAAATACTTGCCTTTAGCAGTATTCCCAGCAACTAACATGTAAGAATCATAACCTTCTTGGTTTAAAACTTCAAATATGTCATTTACAGTCAATACTCTGAACCATTTCTTGTGGTCTTGTAGCGGTATTTCGATAATTTTATGCTGCATTACGTCCTCTTTTTTTATAACGCACCATTCATCCTCCTCATCACAAGTTTTGTTGCATTTTTTTCCAGTTTTCTCGCAAATGCTTAAATCTTCAATGTCAGGGATTTCGTATGCGTTGGGATAGTCTTTGGCGAATTTCTTGAAGGCTTTTAGAATTGGCCTATATCCAGTACACCGACAAACGTTACTTCCGAATGATTGCTCGATTTCTAACATCGTTAGATTTGGGTTTGTATGGATAAGGCTAAAATAAAATTATTACTAACTTCATATTTTCCATTTATACTAATTGTATTATTGTCACTAATGACAAAAATAAAACAAGCGTCTTGACTAATTTGAAAAATAAATAATCTCCGTACAGAGTACTAAAAAAATCGACCTCAAAGGATTGTGGAATAACATCTGTTTGCCAAGTTTTATTGAAATCGATTACCGGACAGTGCACGAAACGGGATTCATAGCTTGTATATGTATATGTATATTGGTTTGCCACCCTTAAAGGTATATTTTCTTCAAATTTAAAAGGGACCACTACTGTAGTCTTTCTAACAAAAAAAAGAATCATCAAAATCGGTTTACACATGCCGGAGTCATCGCGTAACACACAAAAAAAGAACAGTCAAATTGATAACCACCGCATTTTTAAGTCGGTTAAAAAGTTGTTCTGTTCTTAATAAATAATATGAGTTTAAGCTTTGATTGAAAATGAACTATAGTAAACATTCCTCCTCTCACAATGGGAAGACTTGGGCTGTAGTTCCCGCGCGGGCACAATGCGGATTGGAAATAGCACACACATTATCAAATTGCTTTGCAGATGAGGTTTCCTCTCGAGGCTTTCCTTCACCGAAAGGCTCATGGTAATTTCAAACTAAATTTCCCTCACCCTCTCCTTCAGGGACGGCAGGTCAAACAATTAGGCTGCAACGGCTTTCGATCACGATGATTAGTAATACAATACAATTTCAAGGCGATGATATTTCTATTTTATGTTGAGCACAATGAATAATAAACATTGAAGAAGACCAGGAAGCATGCAAATGAAGGAAACTCTAAAATACGCAAATATTGTTAACTTTTCCCGTGGGAAATGAAGATACTTAGTATACCGGGTGGCTACCAAAGGTCTGAAAATTCAAGGAGTAATTCAACTCGTTAATTTTAACAACTTTTACTATGAAACTCCTACCAAAAGAAGCTACAGAGGCATAAAGCATTTTTTTTTTCTGATATCAAGTGACGAACAAGTCGTACGTCTTGTGGTAACGTCTTGTCCATAACAGTTACAGTGCCCGTTAAGTGGTGACGACAGATAGTCGTGTAGTTTAAAGGGTCGTGTCTCGTATATTTAAATGAGGTTGTTTATTTATAGTAAAACACGATTAAGAGTCGTTCACGACTTTTTTGACGTTACGACAGACTGTGGTGAGAATGGGAAGAGCTAGCATGACAGTCGTCTGACGGTAAGTAAAATGTCACGATAAAAATTGTGACGACAAATAATCGCAGCTTCAAACGATTCTGTCTTGCAAACGACAAGGCGGCTGCCGTGAACCGATAATTTGTCGTCACGATGTCGATGAAATAATGATTCAACGATTAAATAAACATCGACGACACAGTTATGACAGATAGTCGTGATAGGGGAACAAGCTAGACGCGACAATCGTCCAACGATGAGTAAAATGTTACAACATAAAGGGAACGAGCCCTTAGAGTATTCAATTGCAAAGATCGAAGGGGCACTGCTGACATTACTGCTTGGTGGCTAAAATAAGTAAGGTGGCAGTATTTGCCTGGACGAACTCTTTCGCAAGGGGTCATGATATGGAGCTATAGCTGCTAAATGTTTGTAATAGATGATTTTGCGTGAATTCAATGGGGTGTACATTGAAAAACTTGTTGGTATTGATGAATTACTCGCTAAATAGAGTAGATGTTTTGGGCTCACCTTGTATACAGTTGTATAAGAATGAACTGACCTGTACATAGCCATCACCCAGCCCGGAGAACAATATCCGCACTGCGACCCATTATTCTCTGCTAATGTCGTCTGCAACGGATGATATCCCTTGAGCCTGTTCCCGATTTTCTCGATGGTCGTGATCTCCCAGTCCAGGCAGGATGTAATCGATACCATGCACTGTAATGTCGAGTTTTGTAAACAAAGCCTTTGCGTTTAGTATGGTTTAAACTTAGAATAATAACGCATAGAAACCTAGCGCGCACACGCTAAGTGAGGCAAATTGAAACGCTCCCAAAGGGCCTACACGAGCGGGCGGGCCTTCAATGCTCAAGGTCAAATTGCACCGCGAACAGCTCCAGAATTTTAGCTAAAAATGACGAAATGTGCGGTAAATGAGTGTAAAAATACGTCAGACAAACATAAAATACATACTAACATCACATTCCACAAGGAAGTAACGCGTTTCGACTATATATATATAAATATTCACTAAAACCGAAAATTAACCTACTACTAAAACTAGCCTACATGAATTTGATTTTTGCCTCACTTGTGACAGTTCATTTGATATGAAACTATCATTCTATGCGTTATTATTCTAAGGGTTTAAATATGTACGTTAACAAATAGAATAATCCACGAAATCGCGAAGCTAATCGTAACCGAAATTGTACCTAGTTAACCTGTGATTGTAATTTGGAGATTGTAATATTGATCTAACCAACATGGATAGCATATGTAATCAATATACTAATACATGATGTATGAGTGCGGTCTTGTATGCGGGATTAAAGATTACAGCAGAATTGAGACTCAATTAGATAAAATTTCAAAAACTTGTATTGATCTCATATTTGTTATATCACGTATACAAGACACGTACTGCGCTGCACTCGAAACCGTACTAGCTGACCATCGCCTAACAGTTGTCACGTGCATGGGGACCGGTGACATACAGGCTGCTCCTAAACAAATTACAAGATTGAATAATACTATTTTGAGGCGAGAGCTCCTAACCATAGATTGGGAACCCACCAGTAATATGTCATGTACAATTAAAACAATCCAAACGTAACAAAGAGTCTTGGGTTGATACTAGAGTTACTACACTACTAAGAGAAAAGGACAAAAATACATCCAATTAAAAAAGACAGCAATAATAAACTACTCCTAGTCGAATACAATAAATTACGTAACAAAACCAATAAGTTGGTGGAGAAGTCTAGAAATTGCTATTACAGACAGATTATTTACGATGCTCAGAACGATACGAAAAAGATATGTCGGATCCTAAATTCAATGACGGGTAGAGTATCTGATTTCCTAGATGATGTAATACTGAAAGCAATGAAATCTAGTACTATCGATGAAACAGAAATGGCGAACAATTTCGCCAGCTATTTCAAAGAATCTGTTCAAGATATAGTACCAAAATATAACAAGCCAATATTACAAAAGTAACCACGACAATCTGAGTAATATGTCTATGTATATCAAAAAAGTGGAACCCAATGATATTTATAAAATAATAAAAAACATGAACATTAAAAAATCGGCCGGTAAAGATGCTATACGACCTATGGATAGCAAAGCCATTGCGGAAAAGATTACTCTGGCTATTGTTAACTTTACAAATACGAGTATTTGCACTTCCAAATATACTAAAGCACTTAAGGCGAGAACAGTGAGGCCTATATTTAAAAAAGGAAGTAAAGTAGAATATTCCAATTATCGACCGATAACACGATAAAATTGTTGAAAAATATATATGTAACGAAGTACACAAATTCTATAATAAATATGAGATTTTATCGGAAAAGCAGTATGGTTTTCAGTCAAATAAGAGCACTACCCAAATTCTTTAGAGATTTACTGACCACCTTAATAGCTGCCTCAATGATAAAAAACACGTGCTTATGGTCCTTAAAAGAGCTTTTGATTCTTTGCGTCATAGACACTCGTAGAAAAATTAGGCAATAGCGGGGTTAGAGGCCCATTGCTTCGATGGTGCGAGGATTATCTCCGTGAACGCAGTTACTCTGTTAGAATAGGTAGTGCTTGCAGTAGTGTAGTAAGGGTAACAGAGGGCACGGCCCAAGGTTCGGTGTTGGGACCATTACATTATTTAACATATGTTAACGACATTATTAACGGTGTAAAAAGTTTGCAGATGACACATGTTTAATATCGGATGATCGGGACGCTGAAACTGCTTTACAAAACTTACAAATTGAATTCACGTTAATAAGTAAATGGTCTCATGACGCCGGTTTAGTCATCAAGGCCGATTAAATGAAACTACTTCATATACATTCCAGCCACAATATAGGATCTACGATCAAATTGGTAGCGCATGACCACCAATGCCTGCTCGTCAACCCGTCATGCAACTACAAGCACATAGAACAGGTAGCTCACAACACATAGCTCGGTGTGACTATAGATAATCGCTTCAATTGGAGTCCTCACATTGAATATATCTGTACCAAATTACGAGCAATAATGGCTAAACTATATTACTTATGCAAAAAGTACCATTTACAGTAAGATTACAACTGTATATAGCATTAGCTGAAAGTACAATATGCTACTGTCTAAGCAGCTATGGGCGTAGTTTCAAATCGTATATTGACCGGATTTATAGTCTTCAGCTCAAAATTTTAACTACTTCAAATTTAAAGAACTTTGGCATAGTCACACGTCAGGTCACAGGTATTAACACACTACCACTACAATCCTAAACGAAAAATTAATCAAAAAAATATAAAATATACCACCAAAATTTTTTTCTTATCCGTAACTTAGTTATAACTTAGTAATATATTTATAATCTACTTATATAACATAATAATAACATTTATAGTACCTACATATTTATTATCTTCAATTTTCTTTTTCTTATAAGTAATCCATGC